TCACTAGTTTAGAAGATGATCGTTTAGGCTGGAAAGAGTTTGCTCCTCCATAAAGCTCACTAAGTCACTGACTTAAGAAAATAAGAGGTTTATTTTCAGAGTCATAGCTCTGTTAAGCCAAGCATTCCTTTAACCTTAACCAGTAACAACTTTATGAATTTCATTACACAAAGATTTTTAACCGTTAGAGAATTATTTATTCATAACATCTGACTGCTCAAAGAAATACTACCATAAATTAATGCTTTAATCATATAAAGGCACTCAATCAGTCCCTGTTACTGGGCTGCATACCACAGGCCTTTAAGGTGGCAGTGATTAAACCATTACTTAAAAAGCCATCACTTTACTCAACTGTCTTAGCTAATTAAAGGACATTCTCCAACTATCCTTTTATCTGAAAAATTCTTGAAATAGCAGTCATAAAACAGCTAACTGATCATCTGCAGAGGAACTATTTATTTGAAGAGCTTCAAAAAGGCAGAAACATGATTACTGGAGATCACAATGATCTTCTTATGGCCTCTGACAGTGGACTTACCCTGTGCATGTTTTACTTGACCTCAGTGCAGCTTTAGATACTGTTGATCATTGCGTTTTATTACAGAGCATGTCACAGGTATTAAAAGGTACTGTGCTGCAATGGTTTGAATCATATCTATCTGATATACTCAAATTTGTTCATATTAATGTGGAGTCCTCTTCATACACTGAGGTTAATTACAGAGTTCACAGGCTTATGTGCAAGGATATGTTCTATTTAAATTATACATGCTTCCCATCTTATCTTAAACACCTCATAGTCTACCACTTTGTTCTTAGACTGCTGGCTTACTTTTCATGGTACTCCAGTCCTTCTGTGTGTCCACTTTGCCCTAATCTCCTCCTGTGCACATATTTTCTGCCTCTCCCTCTGTTTTAATCAGGTTTGTACAGTTCTTGTTGGGTTGGGACCTTAGTTACACTACAGTGCAACATGTGACAATTAAAAGCTAATCTTTAGCTATTAGCAGTCGCTTATTGACAAAGTAGTTCACTTTTTGCTGGAATCTCCCGCTCTAATTACATCCCACCATCTATTTTCTGACCATGACAATTATACCTTCTTCCATCTCATCCTCACTCTGTTGTTGGG